AAAACAAATTAGACCAATTTGCCTCATATAGAATTAATGTAATTTGAAGCTGATTCACTGTAGCAGAGAAAATCAGTTTATGTTCTCAGTGAGTAAATTGCTCAACATTAGTATATGTAAGTCTAATCCCTTTATATGTATTGTCTTCTCCTCTAAGACAGAGTGTGGGATAAGACTAAGCGACCAAAGACCTTAAAAATCTTTGATACTTAAAGCTGGGATGCTCTGAAAAGCTGGGAGGCCGACTTGCAGGAAACAACTGCACCACCTACTAGCTTCTTGATCACAGTTTTTGGCCACTTTGCAAGTCTTACTAGACTGTTCAGCAGTCAAAGGCAGCTTCCTATATAATACATAAAAATCTGGAGACTTTTTTCCCAAGGCAAATTGTGTTTCTGTGGTTTTTGTCTCTGCTTTGATTAAGGTTTGTTCCTTCTGGCTCATCCTGTTCTTCTGGAGCTAAGGATGAAAGGCTTAGCTGCTTGGAAGAGCTTTGTTGTTGCTTCTCACCACCGCTTCTGGCCCTCCAAACTAGGCAGGACAGGGACTGATGATGCCTGAATAATCACAGGCAGATTATTTGCCTGCTGTTGCTGCTAAGGTGAAATCCAGACATTTGGATTTGTTTTTTTTCTCCTTCCACCAATAGCCCAGGAAGTTGGCTGTGAGAAGGTGTGCTGGGAACGAGGAGCATTTTGTCATTAATCCCTGTGCCTTCCTCCAGCTTTGTTGCTCCTTCAGAGCAACAGGAAAAATTTGCAAGAAGCTGAAACAGAGACTGTCCCTCATAGAACTAGTCTGTGTAGTAACAAAACAAAAGTACGTTTGTCCCAGGCGGTGTAAACAACAGCATGTTGCTCTCTGCTGCAAGAAAAGCCCGGTGACGTCTCAGGGCAGAGCTAGGAATGCTTGGTGCATCTTGCACCCTGTGGGCAAAATGCCTGCTTCTCCCTGGATTTAAAGAAAAGTTTTTTTAAAAGAGGAGAGGGCAAATTCAACTAAGGAGTTCAAAGCAGAGCCTTACTTAAAAATAAAATAGTTGTTTGCTGATCTAGAGAAAGGCAGCCTTAAAAAATAAAGTCTGACTGTAAATGAGACCACATCTTCAAAGCTTCTCAGATACCTCAACTGTGTAACTGTACAGCAAATGGGCATGCAAAACCATCCATTTTCTGTCTTTTCGTATTTCTAAGGAGAGTCTCAGATTATATCCCAAAGCTGCAAGAAGCGTATTTCTTTCTTCCTGGTGGCGTAGCCTTCGCTTACGTTACAAGGCCAAGAGGAGCAGGGGGCACTAAAACAGCAGATTTCTCTATGTGCACCAGTGGGAAACTAATGTTTTTCTCTGTCCCGAGAACACCCTCCGGCCTCGTTCTTTGAGCTTCGAGGGAGAAAGGCTGCAGCAATCCCTGCCTGCTCGCGTTCCTCGCGGCTGCCACGTTTGGGCAGGCCGAGGAAGGCCTGTTTGCCGGGCAGGCCCCGCGCAGCCGCCTCGGCCGCAACGCGCCGCGGGGGCCGTCTTGCACAAGGGACATGCTCAAAGCTCATTAGATACAGACTGCCAGCAGCCCGCTCCAATGTAGGACAGGACTAATTAAGCAAGTAAACTTGCTTCTAAGTGATAAAGTAATTTGATTATGCTTTTCTTATGCAACTAGCTCCAGAGAAATCTGAAGAAATCCCTACGCGATTAAAGGGTGAACACAGCAGTAAATAATTTGCCTTTTACAGTGTAGGCAGTAACATTGGCTTTGGTTTGTTTTATATGAATCATCTTCTCTACAAATTGCATTTTACACTATACGTGGGTTTCTCCCAGTCTCAGCTCAGGTAGCATGCTCATGCTAACCTGCTACATGCACATTTCACATCAAAATAATGGATTAGGTGCACAGCTAAACCAGCCCTCTTGTCAGTCTGCACAACAAGATATAAATGTCTGTATCTAGTCAAATGTCAGTGCTTTACATCTGCTTGTTCCATATTACTACTACAGCCATTTGTCTAAATATATATACACACACAATATTTATATCAATATCTAAAATATTTGTATATTAAAATGCATGTATATTAAAATATGTTAAATATATCAAATACATTCTAGCCGGTCATAGTGAGATGAAGATTTGTTTTCCATCTTAGACTTACGGGCAGCTATTTTTTTTTCCTTCGCTGTAGACTTCTTAGAGTTAAGTAGGATGTTATTGGAAGAGAGGGGAAGAAAATAACCCCACCAGAGGGAGGGTAGAGCGTGCCGAGTGAAGCAGCAGCTGTTTCAGTACGAGCGATGTGGTCCTTGCTGTGTTCCACTCGTGCTGTTTTCATGGCAGGACCCCTCAGTGCTGGCTCCGAGGAACCCGGTTGTGGGTGCACGGCAGGAGCGGGCAGGCTGAAGCAGAAGGTGCTCTGGGCACAGCGGGGACAGCAACCACCTGCATCACACAGGTGGCCAGGATCCAGCAGGGATCCTACGCCGCCTGCTTCCTGGGATCCTAACGTACCTGCATTTCTCTCTACCTAAAGGTCTTTTAGAAATAAATCTCTTTTGTGGTTTGAATTCTGGCTGCTGTTGCAAGCTGACTTGGCTTCCCCCCACCCCTTGAGAGAGCAGAAAAAAAGTGGTATTAGAGTGGTCAAGCAGTTCTCATAAAATTAGTACTGTAAAGGCGCAGACAGCTTAAGAAAGATGTAACTACTTCAGACTTTGTTAAAACCAGCCTGTGGGGAAGTGAATGTCCCTTCTGCCACGTAACATGCACGGTAGCTTCCTCAGAGATAAGAAATCAGTGCATAGAGTCTGGTCAAAGAATGAAATTCTTCACAAATATTCATTGTATTAGTATTTATTGCTTTTGGAGCAACAGAAAAATCTGTTTAAAAAATCTGTTAATAGGGCAAGGAAGAACTTCAGCAAGAGATCTGCAAAATAGGGAACAGATACTTTAGCTTTGGATATTTCCCCAAGAGCTTGTTTCTGTACTAAATATGCTGTTGTGGTAGGTTATTTTATGCCAAGGCATCTTTGACATATCATAGAATCATTATGGTTGGAAAAGATTTTCAAGATCACCAAATCCAACCCTATCCTTATATTGAATTAGAAGACTAGTTATTCTCCCCAGGTGTTTAGGAAAGGATACAGAACAACCTTCTAATACAATGTAGAATTCCTGTCATGCTTGGTAGGTGCTATTTTAGCTCATTTGTGATTTAAAAGAATTCTTAATCTGAGCACACGATCATACTGTAAATACTGAAGACATCTAGAGCTGCCCCCTGAACTTGCTTTTGCAGAAATAGCTGATTTGAGACACACACACATTAGTGCACATTTGTGGTCAGCAGAACTGCTGATTAGGAAGAAACAAAGTCCAGTGCGAGGCGAGGTCCTCGTTGTGAGACGCTCACGGACGTTTCCGTGCAGCCGTTCCGTTTCTGCAGGAAGTTAGGCTGGGGAATCTCTTTCCAGCAGCACTTCTTCCCGGGGCAGGGCTCCCGCTCCGGGGCAGGACGCGGGGCTACCAGGGGCTGCAGGGGTCGGGGCACTGGCGCAGGTAGGTCTCGGTGCGGCCGCCGCGCACCTCCATGAGCGTGGTGCACACCGTGAGCTGCAGGGCGCGAGAGCAGCCTCGTCACCGCGGTGCCGCTGCCACTACACGCGGCCACCCAACCTTCCCCCTGAAAAATCTCTTTGTTTTTTAACCCCCAAGCCCAAGTTCATCAGATGGAAACACTTTCTGATGCAATAGGAGTATCAGTCACGGAACCAGGAGGTGCCTGCATTTGTCTCGCACAACATCTAAGGCACAGCTGATAGCACCCTTCTAATCTGAATTGTGCTCTGTACATCTGAAGGGCAACTGCCTCCTCAAGCTAGGAGGTCAGACCAGGCTACTCAGGGCTTCAAACCCTTTGTTCCACCACTTAAATTTTCCCTTTACAACGTTACTTGGAAGGTTTTGTTCTTACATGTTGTTTTTTACCCAACAACCCATACGCCTCTCCGAATCTACCACCGGATATGTTGCGAATATAGTGGGAAATACTAACTCAGAGCAGTGCATTTTCCCTCCTCCGTTCTCCCTGGTTGAAGCTCAGTGCATGTGAGGCACACAGGCGCCTGTCACCTCTCCTGCCTCTATCCCTGCTCCTCCTCCCTTCACCTTTCTCCCTCTCACTCTTTTCCGTGGGCTTCTGGGCCTCTGTTCGGTGGCTTTCTCTCAAAATGAGGAGGTCGCAGCTTAGTGAAAGGCTGCCATGAGGGGCCTTTTAAACGAGACCAGGTTTTCATTTCATGCTTAAATTGTAGCCTCCCAGCTCTTGTGCAATACCTTTAACTTCACTTACACTACGAACTCTTCCCTCCCATAGGTTGTGACAACAGTGTGGTAAAAACTGAATGTACTTTGACTATTTCTTTAGATACGCGTTACATCTCCCACCCCAACTCTCCCACAAGAAATTTGCAAAGATAAAAAAAAAGGGTAGCATTACCTTGTTGAGGACAGGCTTTGTGGAGAGAACATCATATATGGTTGGTAATGAGATGTTCTGGAAGGAAATAAGACACTGGTGTTAGTAGACATGAACTTACTTACCTAACTCTGTGTGTAAATGCTGAGGAAAAAAACAAAACAAAAGAGAGCTTTACTAATATGGTACCAGTGCATCTTGTGATCAGAAGAGCAGGGGTTGAAAACCCACCCAAACAGGCTAGATCTCACTACAGCACAGAAAGCAGGGCTTACAGTGCCTGCTGCCAGGGCAGTGGTTGCTGGATTTCGCTAGTTATAAAAACAGCTCAGGAAACACTGATATTTCTCAGAATATTTTCAAGTTTATCACCCTACATACACAGCAGGAAAAAAAAAAAAAAAGTATTTTTATAAAAAAGTAAAGCAGTGAAAAGCCTCAAGCTAGGGAAGGAGAAAGTTTAGAAACAGAAAACACTGATGGAAAGAGGAATACAGTAGTGTAGACAAATCCTCCCCAAAGCACTAGCTGCTCCTGCCATTCCAGCTCTGCCTGCAAGTGCCCTGATTGTCCCTGGCTGTGTCTGGTAACTGCTCTGATGCGACTGGAGCACTTTGGAACAGGGCGGTTAGGTCCTCGGGGACGGTCACCTCCTGCTTCGTCTGGTTGAGGCACTTCATCGCAGGCGTTCGGCGGTTGTCCAGCACCAGGGGCGGCTTCCAGCGGTCGTAGTTTGTTTCTACCACGTACCATGAGCCTTTCTTTATATCAAGGCTGAAAAAGAGATGCATGTTTGTGATTCACTTCTCTAAATACTCTATGAAACTAGATATTTTTTGGCCTATTATAGGTGTTTTAACATCACTGTAGTGATGTTAAAGAACTGAATTCTGGCATAGAAGTCACAAGAAAAACAGGGCACAATTCTCAGTGCACCCTGTCCTTTTTGGGCAGAGTCAAATGGGATCAAGCAAACTCACTCCCAGACGTCAAGGGTAGCTGTCCTGGAGCGAGTTATCACACAGCCTTCTCCGGAGTTTTTTCCACCCAGTATAAAGTAAGCTGGAGCCAACAGTCTTGTTTTTGTCAGTTTTTCTTTTGCATCCTCGTAACTGCAAGGAACAAGAGAAGTTTTACACTATTACACGCTGTAAGTGGTTCAAATACTGAAGAACTAAGTTTGAGACCCAGGAAAAATTTGGTAGTTAAACCCTTCTTCCCCCTTTATCCACGTACACAAGGACTGTGTCACTGTGCTATTATGAAAGAACGCGTTTCAGCAACACTTCTCCACTCAGAGCGTGCCTGGAACAAGGTGCTCCTTGCACACAGGGTGTTTTTTCTTTTTTTTTTTTTAAACAGAAAAAAGAGCAATGCAATAATGATGCACTTTAGCAGTGTGATGCTCCATCTAATTAATGTACTGTATCAGAGCTTTATTTCTAGTTACTTCCTACCCTATACTAACTCTGGCATGTGTTTTGATGCAGAATACTGCTATGCATTCAGATGCTGGTAACTTCATTGGAGAAAAAAAAAAAATAAAGACCTGAGGAATTTTAAAGGAAATCATATGCTGCTTCCTCTTCCCCAGTGCTCACATGAAGTCTCAGCACAGACAGGAACTGTTTAAGGCTACTAGGAAAATATCTGTTGGCAGTCAGTACTTAATATAAAAGACATTTACCTACAATATTCATGCCAGTCAGGAGCAAAACAAGTTAAAACACAGAAATATTTAGAGGGGGGAAAAGAAAAAGTGTAATACCTTGTAGCGTTCTCTAGGACTGATCTGGTGAGAAAGCCCATCCACATACCATCTCTTCTACCAAGAAACCACTCAAACATTCCTGCAAAGCACCGTTGGTTATAATATATAAATAACTTGCTTTCATAAGCTTCTCTCATGCTAATCCAGCTTTTCCAGCCTTTAAACTGAATGGTGTTTTATCTTACTCACCTGGAATCTTTTCATCGTTTGTGTGACTCTTACATGTAAGGTGCACTTAGTGTCTAAAAGGCTGGTTTTAAAGCACACAAACAAGCATTACTCACCTATATAACCACCATCAAGGCTGAAACGCTCGTTCATGGTCAGGGTGAAAGCGTCCTGAAAAGCATTAAAGAAATGAACCTCGGCCCAGTGGCAGCATTGGTAAGAAACAAAACCGACCTCGCAATTCACTCGCCACGGCTTTGCAGGCCTCGAGCAAAGGGCTGCAAGAACAAGCCCACACCAAGAACCAGCTTCTATTTAATCTCTGAGTAAACACAAATGACACTTCCCAGTTCCTGTGCTTGCACAGCGACTGGCAAGCTAAGGTTTTATGCAGCAAGCCAAGCCTATGGTGGTTTTTCTTTTTGACCTTTTGGCATCACTGAATTACTAGTTTCTCCTCCCCTGCTGTCTGTAACCTTGTTTTCAGACCTCCATGTACTAGGCCAACTTGAAGGCAAATTCTTAGGTTCTAGCCTACGTAAATACTGATATGTTAGTGTTGTTCACATGGAGAAAGAGCCATATACAATTTCATGTGCATTACTTTCAACATGCAGTTCAAGCTGTGATCCCAATCCTCTCTAATCAGTGTTTGCCATATCCTCCCCTATGCCATGCGGTTACGTTGGATCATTATAAAGATGCAGTCCTGTCCATTTATTGGGCACAGAGACAAAACAAGGATTTATGCCAGAAATTTACTTTATATGAAAAGGGTCAACCATGATAGAGATGAGCATATGGAGAAGATGGAGCTGTGGTAAGTTGGAGCACCTGGTCTAGTTCACTATGTTTTAAAGACTAGATAAAATCTAGACTTAAAATGCCTAACACCAATTATCCTGGAATGCATGCTTACTGTTCCAAGAGGGAGATATTTAAGATAGCACTCAGGTAGGCTGTTTCTATTCTGGGAACACAGCAATTCCTTTCTATTTGAGCCAACTGCTTGGGAAGAGGTTTATTTTTTTTTTTTATACCCCTCTACTATTTACCCACTTGGAATACAACATTTTTGAAGCACTTGTTCAGAACTGCCTGTAAGAAACGGTTAGGTTTGAACAACTTCCTTTTACCAGGGAAGTGCAGCACCTTTTCCGCCTACCTTTGGATATCGTATTACGCACTGGAACGATTAAGAGCTCAGGGCAGGTGATTAAAGAACAACAGTTTATATCTTAAAGCCTGAAGCATTATTAGCTCATTGACAAAAAACAAACAAACAAAAAAAAACTTACAGGCTTGACTCCAGACACCATGCCTATATATCCTGCAAAATTTGTAGACTTAAATACTGTTTTGTTGTTTCTCTGGAAGTCCAGCACTACCACTGTGGGTTTCAGTTCCCGAGTTAAAGTCCAGGAATTGTTTTTAACATCCCACCTGCAGAAGAGAGCACAGCATTTGAAACACCCCCAGCCGCAGACTCAACCTTTCCAGCCACAAGACGCCCATCTCCCGTGTGCGATGCCGGCATCTCGCCCGCCCGGGATCCCAAGAGCCACCACCACAGCCCGGTCGAGGGCCAGCTCTGAACGTCTGCGCACACCAAGAAAAGAGCCAAGTTTGTGCAAATCAACAACCCAAATTAAAAGGCTGGCTTATTTTGGCCATAGCTTCATCCCACGGGCAACTTGGGGAGCCGCTTCAGTCACCAAACCTACTGAATCTTGAAAGCGTGCGGACTTCGTCCTGGAGCAGGATGACCAAATTCTTACTTTCAAAAGGGGAAACCACAACCTGTACCACTGTAGTTTTTTTTCCCCCCTCAACTGAAGGGAAGACCCACTTCTAATCTGTACAATTATCCCAAGGAGCTTTTTCTGCTGAGTGTGTATCTAGGGGGATGCTAAAGAACACTTTATTAGAGAATTCAATTCTCTGGAAACAATGTTTTAGGAATAGCTTTGAAAAGTGGTTTCAGTTTTCAGGGAACATGGGAGCTTGTCCCCAGTCTGACAGAAGGGGGGCAGTTTGACACGTGCTATTCAAGGAATAGATGGAGGGACAGCCATCTACATTTGAGGTTTGTCAAAGAAAAATTTTAAATGAAGATGAACATTTAAATTCCAGCTGGGCATTAAGAATCAGCTGGGTTAGTGACACTACAGAAAATACTAGGAGAATAAAAGCAAACATGAAATACCAAGTAATGAGGCATGGAATCAGAATACCGAAAGAAAATCTAGCGCTAGTTATTATATGTATAAAATAAAAAAAAAAAGACACCGTATCAGGTACTTACCCAAGAAAGAGTCCAAAATCCAAGTTTCTGGCATGGTAAAGTCTCCCTGTATTAAAAAAATAAATACACTATATATATGCATGTATACACAAAGTCAGAAAAAAGAAAAGCTTTTTTTTGTATCAAATGTTTTGCCATAATTGAAATCAGATCATCTTTTAACTTGCTGTCCAGCTCAGCATCAGATGATTTTCATATTAACATAATACACTGCTAATAACTCTAGCTTTCTGGGGGTTTCTTTTTTTTAAAAAAAAAAAAAACAGCTTTTTCTAAGCCCTTTGAGAACATGAAGTTCACTCCATTGCTACAGGTGCAGACAAGGGCTGCTGAAGTGATCGAGAGTAGTTCACTTTCTCTAGCATGACACGTCTGCCACAGCTGGGTGCCAAATGGCTTGCACTGGAACCACTAAACTAAGGAACACACTAAAATAAGGAAACACTAAGGAACACACTAAAATAAGGAAAAGAGCATTTCTTTTCCACAGAAAGCAAATGATATAGAGTAAAAAGTTACCATCTTCTTAGTAGGTACTTTTTCTTTAAGGCTAAGACACTGGAAATCTCCTAGTGATTCCCAAGGTATTCCTTCGCATTACCAATGCTTTTAGTTTCTTCTACCGGACCTGCTTCCTGCAGCTGAAGTTGAATTGCAGAACCACATTCTGCCATTGAGCTGGCCCTTTCCCTTCACAGGACAAAATCAGCATGACTATTCAGATGTGCAATACCTGTTTTATCTTCTGCCACTATGGAAGTACAGACAGTAAAAATTTCATAGAAGATGTTGAAAATAACAATTTCCCCTAGAACAAAAAGAAATAAAGTAAAATTTTCTTCTCCAGAAGCTTCAAAGAATCTACGAAAGTACATAAACTATAAAAACTCACTTTACAGAAATAGTTCATATGCAAGTTGCTACTCACACCAGTATTTCCATACGTGAGCTTTTGCTTAAGCAGTAAATGTGCTGCATACAGAGCAAGAAACAGGCCTGGGGACCTTCTTGGTGGGACCTTCTTCTCCCTTCTGGGAGAAATCAGTGTCTAATACCTGCCAGCAACTTCATGTCCTTTGCGGGGAGAGGGGAAAGAGGTTCAGGAGGGAAGGAGAGCACAGTGTGAAAGCTGCCCTGGCGTCGGGGCGCACTGAGAGCAGACACAGCTGCGCGGGAGCGCAAACGAGCCCCCGAATTCTACTGCACGAAACCTCTCAGCCTGCTCCAAGGTTTTGCAATGTATTCGTTTCTAAATACTGTTGTCATTTAGCAAGAGATGAACTGGGCCTTTTTTCTAACTAATTCATAATTCAGTTGGTAAAATGGCAGCTGAATATAACAGAAGAGCAGTCTGTTAAATACATTAATTTTAACAAGCCCAGATTCCGAACTTTCTAAGATGTAAATGAAGCACTGAAAAAACATTACCCAAAGGAATTCCAGAGGCATTTGCAATCCCTTGGAGCTCTTCTTTGAAAGGATAAGGAAGTGTGGCAGTCAGATGTCCCTGAAAGGAAAAGTTTCATATATTGCCTGTGAAAATGCATAAATTAAAAAAAAAATCTAAAAAATCCAATAGATGCATTATTAGTGCTATAAACCACATATTTAATTCCCCTACAATCTGTAGAACTTGTACAGTACTTGACATTGGTGCAGTGCCGGAAAGCATGTATTTAGGGAAAATAAAAACTACTATTACTCAAAATACTGACATGTTAGCAAGGGAGACTGGCACAAAATCCAGTTCATGTTAGCAGCAGTAGGCAGAAAAGAGTTAAGACTCAACATACAAGAGCTCATCTGGAACTGAGCTCTAGGCCATTAGTGTTTGAAAGAACCCTTATCTTTGACAAACTGGCTTGACTGCCCGTGCAGCTACCTCTGCGTCGGTGCCTCTCGCAGGGAGCCGAGACTGAGACGGGCAGGCCTGACCTGACGCAGTCTCTGGCTCCCTGTGTTTATTCCCCTGCCCTGACTGTATGTTAAAGCACGTGAATTCTTCCTTAAAATCAAGCATAAGCAACGTTGCCTCGATTCAGACATTTACTGTGGCTTTCAAAAGCTGATTTGATTCTACTGACTTAGACGAGTTCAGCACAGCAAGCAGCAGCTTTCTGGAGACCAGGCACACACACCGCTGGAAACGGCTTAGCATGGCTAACCAAACAGGAGGAATTCTTAGGAAAAGCTAGAAGAGGAGGAGACACAGGCGTTTTGGGTTGGATAGTTTCAGTACAATTTAACTCTGCGAACTAACGATTTTTTAACCTCTCAAGAATCTAAGAGGAGGAATTACACAAGTCATAATTAACCAAATTCAGTAACGTCCTGGTACTCAGAACAGTGAGAATAGTAAAATATTTAAGTTGCCAATACTCACCAATTTGTGATCCACCAAGTCAACAACTTTGCCACTAGGGAAGAACGTATTTACTATTTCTTTAATATTGTCGATTACGGTCTTCACCTAAAAAGAACAAGGACTTTACTGAGCTTAAGAATTATCAAATACTTTTCAAAACAACTTTTTTCTTGAAAAACACACATTTATAAGAAGAGCTAAATGTGGCATTAATGCTGAGAAAAGCTGTGGGGTAGCTGCTTTTCAACCTTTATTCAAATGACTGTGTAGATCAGCTCTTGTATGTCCCTTCACTAAGGAAAAAAAGAACTACAGGAAAAGGGCGTTTTTGTCTTCTGCTCCTGTGATCACATTTATGGGTAATATTCTGCACTCTTCCATCTTTAAAACACCAGTTAGAAGCTCTTTGCTTTATCATTGATGTTCACAAAGCCAAAAATACTAGATAAGCTTCTGAAAAAAGGAGGAGGAACTTGTGCTTTGCAAAATGTGAATTGCCACAAATGCCACTTCATCTGATTTAACTCTAAAGTTCACAAGACCTTTCAAAAGTGGAAATGCCACCTGATGCTTAAAAAGCCTATTGCTTTAAGTTTGCTTTTAAAAATAAAAATAGTATGTCCCAGCTGTGCCCCTGCACTTGATCTCGCTAGCTTACATGCTGCACAGAAAGATGTTCATTCAAGCAATTATCTTACTCTAGAACTGTCCTAAAAAACAAAAACAACCCAATAAACAACAACAAACTAGAAATCCTAAGCCTTTACCAAGGCAGTTTCATCCCAGGTTCTCCTTACAAACCTCTGCATAATAAGAGCTTATACGCTAATTTTATATATGCTAAGCTTAAAAGTAACCCCTGTATTTCATACCTGTGTCTTTTTGTCACGCATCAACTCATCCCATCTCTTGCTGGGAGGTAAATCGAGATTTATGACATACGTGGGAACGTTCCCGAGGAACCTGAAAGATAAGCGCCAGAGTTCAAATAATAAAAAAAAAAAAGGCATAAATTTAACAAAACTAGTGCTTTCATCTTGTAATCAGTACTTTCTAGATCTGCAATATGAACAAGTAAGACAAATCTTAGAAAGCTCAACCTTCTAATTTACTCCTTTTTGGTAAATGGTCAGAGAAGCCGAATCACATAACTTACGTTGGTCCTGAAGGAGGGTACGTTTTACTTCTGCAGTCTTCTCCATACTGTGGAAACAATTAAGTGTTAGTTACTATTTAACTTCTTTATTAAAGCACATCTTGTATTGTAGAAGATTTAGTTTTGAACTAAACCTTTAGTTTAGCTAATTCAGCTCATGATAATTTGATGCTAAAGGGAAAGTCTAGCAGACTTGAGGAGCCGAGGAAAATAAGAGACAACATCAACCCCACGCTGTCACACAAAGCTTCAGCCAACGCATTCGCCCCAGTCCGGGAGAAGCACAAGTTTATCATAATTGGACAAGCCTATTTTTATTCCACGGGGCTCAGTCAAACACCAGAGTGATGCATGAGCATGCAGGAGCGCTTGAAGAACGTTGTCTTCAGAAAAGCTCTGCTAACAATGCATCATGGCACAGATTATTCCAGCCTACTGGGGTTATTTGTTTCACCATCTCACTGCATGGCATTGCTCGCACCTGCGCGCAGTGCTGAGTGCAGCTGCCACGGGGCAGCAGGCAGAACGTGGACGGAGGCTGCACGCGCACCTCCAGCACCCCGGATGGAGGCTGGATATATGCACCTCCACACTATGTATGCAGGCTGCACGCACGCACCTCCAGCACCACGTATGGAGGCTGCCCGGGCACCTCCAGCCCCCCGGATGGAGGCAGCTTTCTGCTTGGCATGGGATGATGCTGCCAAGCTGGCACTGAGCACGACTGGAGCCCCTTTCAGAAATGCAGCTAAAAGCCGCCTCGCTTTGTTGCTGTACAGCCAGCTGATGAGCAGGGAGAGCTTGGGAGCTATACCGCGCTGTACTCGAGGCACTCGGAGCGAGCGCCGGGCTGTTTCCCCGCCAAGCGCCCGCCACACGCGCATCCATCCTCCCCGCCGCGCACGTGCACATGCATGCACGCAGGCACATGCATGCACGCGGGCCCGTCATTACGGCGTGTTCGACACGGGGCAGTACAAGCACATGCTGACGAGCTGCGCCTGCTCCTCGGGCGAGGCAGCTCTGCAGCCGCTCGGGCACCGAGTGAGCTCCGGAAAGGCAGCAGATCCTCTCCCTGCCCCGCTCTCTGGAGGAGCCGCTCTGCTCCCGGCCCCCCGTGCCAGCCCCAGCCTCTCCTCGCTCTTGCGCATCCTTGCAGGGCTTTTGAAGAACCTGCTAAGCTGCCCAGCCAGCTGCTCTGGGCTTTGCTGGGCCTGCCCTATGGCTCAGCACGTACCAAAGGAAACGCACATGGTCCCTGGCATAAGAGTGCGCAGGGGCTCCCGCAGCCAGACACGGGCGAGACAGGAAAGAGATAACAACACGCAGGGAGGCCCTCCTGCCTCCTCACACTTGGTCCCCACTTTCACCTGGCTGTGAGAATTTGGTTCCCTCCCTGGCGCATCCTTGCAGGGCTTTGGGCTCTGCAGGCAGGGAAAATCCCTAGGAGCTACATACCTTCCAAACAAGAGACAACTGACATCCAGCCGGGCCTTGGGCAGGCCCTATTACCCACTTCTAATGCAGTAACCAAAGAAATCCATGTCTAGCACAATCCCGCAGGCTCCCAAACACTGACAAAATTCATTTCATTGAAAAATAGGAATTTTAAAGTCAGACTGGTTTTCATGCACCATTTGAGTGTTTTGATTTTGTATTGTTTCCAGTGGCTTGGGTTTCCTCCGCATGAGACGGAACATGCTAAGAACAAATGCATTACCCAGGGTTCGAATGCAGTGCAGCAATAACCTCTGCACAGCTGAGCAAAAACTCAAACTTGGGAGCCCATTTTGCTATCAAAATGAGGATGTTTCAAAACAAGGAAGGTAGGCAAGGCCCCCAGATGACTAAGCAGGCGGCAATAACCAGAAGCTTCAGAAGCTTCAGCCAAGAAAATACTTAGCAGCATTACTGCAATTGTTTGTGAAATTTGCCATTTTGCAATACTAAAATAAGTTAGAAAAAGTGATATCACATATCCATCCTACTGCAGAGAGTCTGACACAACAGACTCAGACATTTCAATAGGAAAACTTTCCAAAATAGGCTCCTTGACAGATAAAGAATGATCCAAAACATTAGCTTTTACATTGAAAAGAGTCTATTTTCTTTAGAGAGGAAAGCTCAATAATCAGGCAACCAAGCTGAACTTGTGCAAGGTTAGTAAGAAGACACCTAAGTGATCAATTGTACAAAGGTTGAGGTTAAGATCATCATGCTTTTATAAATATCTGAAGCTTGAACATCTTGCTTCCTGGCAGGGCTATTGGCAGTTTTTGTTTTCGAAGAGTTCGTACTAGGCGCTTCCACCAAGAAAACGATCAGTTAACTTGTCAGTATTGTCTGTGTGCACACAGGGCCAGCAGCATCGATCCTGCAAAGAGTATTTTAAGTGACGTTCTCAGTGCTAAACTTAAGGCCATTTCTCTCTCTCTCCGCCTCTCTCCTCCCTTCTTCCTCCCTCCCCTGAGATTCTCATCTTGCTTTTGAAACTACTTTTATCTCCCTTGTTCTCTGCAACCTAAGCCACAAAAGAGGCAAGGAAAGGGAAGGGTTAAGGCAGAAATACAGAGAAGAGAGAGAATATCCCCTCCTTATATGCCAGTAATTTTAGACATCTCAACTGTTTATGTACAAAGCAAGCAAATCAAACTAATAACCCCTCAAACAACCTGCA